ACGAAGGGAAAGTTCCAAAGCAAAAGTCAGACGAAACTTTTGAAATCAAATAATCTGCTTTATTGGTTTCGAGAGTTCGTTGAAGAATCAAGTAAGTAGGCCACAAAATACGCTGACTTGGCACGGAACATATGATTCCCACCAGACATTTCCAAGAGTTAGATTTACCTTGATCGACTCCAGCAATCCCATGAAAAATTTGTTTGCCCTCCGTACAGCTGGCAAGGTGATAGCCTTCTTGTCACTGAATTTTTGACAGTAAGCTTAACACCCCGTTTTTTCTAAGAGCAAGCATTGCTTGGTGAGGATTGCTCACACCGAACATATGATTTTCCAAGATGTATAAAGTGACTACATGTTTTATGTTGTTCTCATTTCAATGGATCAAAAACTACCGAAATTGGCCGAGTGGTACAATATGGTTGGGTTCACAGTCCAAGCAAAAATTTTATTCTTTTGTCGATGTGGGTTGCGTAAAGTCACTAAGAGTCTCATTCGGTCGGACTCCAAGACCCACGTTGTTTTTCACCGGCAAGTCGACATTCCTCCAGTATCAAAGGTTTTGGGTAAAACTGTTGCTTTATTGCAGTGCTTACAGAATTACTGTCTTTTCGGTCAGCTTACTGCCAATTTTTCCACAGACAAGCCGTTGCGTGACCAGTTCCGCTCTGCTTTCTTTCTGATCACTTCAAGGCTTGCCGAGGTGGACCAGTTAACCGAAAGAACGACCCCATTAACTGTTGTGATTTCTCATCTACGGAGCGCCTGTGAGGCCGAGTGTTTTAATAACACCTTGCATAACCCTGTGAAGTTTGGTGGTTAGACCGGCTGCTTGCGAGGTGATCGAGACCCACCTGGTTGGAGGTATTTGCTAACGTAAGACCACCGAGTGTGGAAACGTAGGTTATAGTGGATACATACACTATCAGTCATTAGTTGGCCTAGATGGTAGTTGTGGAAACAGTTGGCTAAACGACAGACAGTTCTTGGTGCACAAATTGCAGAACCTCGTCAACCTCCGCTACGCTACTATACACATACTGCTGTGTTCTCAAACCAACATCAAGCGTATCCCGCTGTTTTTAACAGAACGTCATAAGCCTTACAACACAATGCCTTGAACTTTTACGATAACCTTATCATCACCATATCGGTAGTCACTAGCGTCTTCGTAACTTTCAAATAATGATGAGATAACTTTATCAGGAGATGAAGCTGCAGTGTCTCCATGGGACCCAGTGCAGTTTAATCCTCTCATGTTGCCTTCATTACCAAACTTTGTTTGATGCCCAGAAAGAGTTTTGGTATTCTCATCTGAGTTGATGCTAGAGGCTTCCTTAACTGATCGCTTCATGTTCAACGATGTCCACTTTTCCAGCGTAACGTGCTTGCCCATGTCAGAGCGACTTAATGCATTGTAGTTAAGATAAGGATATATTTGTCCACAAAGTCATTTCCTTGGTATGATCCCAAAGAATAATATTTTCGTGATGGAAATATAAAACACCAGACAACAGACTACTGATGTTCTTTTCCTCAACCTGTACAAAAATTACCCGTGTTCACTTATAGATCTTGTTCAGCTGGACACTTTCTACTTACATCATTTGTTGATTTTGCTTGTTTATATTTCATTATCAAAGAAGACCGCATCATGCCCTTCATTTAGGTACTACAAAAAAGGAATCAATACCAGTGATATCGGTTGAAATCACTGATACCATAAAAATCATCTACAAGTTGCGATTACACCACTCTTTTCATCCGTTTGAGTATTTCAAAAACTTCAAAGTTTATTCACACATCGAAAAACACAGTCCAATGTGTATTTTGATCACACATTGAGAAACGCACTGCTCGGACTTACATCCTGATTTTACCTGTATTTTATAAACTACTTCCTTGTACAAGGACTTTCTACGGCGGACTGTTATACGCAACAAATTAAATCCTCTAGTTCCATCCTGAGCGTCATTCCGAGACAATCAGAATAAATTTCTTGACCCCAGTTAGTTCTCAAAATCGTCACCAGTATGGGAGGGCACCACCCTGCCACACAAAGCCCCATATTACTGCTCAAGCACGTGAAAATGACCACAGGATTCGTGGTGCTGCCCATCGGGTAATCAGAGGCTATCAGAGTCGACTATCAACGGGAAGCTGGTCTCAGAATACGGCCTCAGACAAGCCTCCCCTTTACTACATGGACGCTGGTCAGTATCCCCTCAAAGACAAATGAAACTTCATTACTCAATTGCGCAATATCATTAGCAGGACAACACTGGGAGGATCTTGAACCAGGACCACTCAGAGCCAATAGGTATCACCCGCTGGTGTTTCTAGAGCTTACGATGTGTTGCTTGCTGATGAACAGGCATTAATATTTTTACGTCAGATTCACTTGGATTAAAGGGTGTAACGGAGCAGAGAAAGTAGGCGACTGTGTGTTACAAACAAAACCAGCCTAATCAAACAAATGGAAGGCTTTTTGAATAGCGCAGATCTCACCCAGTATCAGAATTAACGACTCATCAAAAATGACAGAACAGCGGTGTTTAAGGGCGGATATTGTAGGTGCATTCACTTAGCTACCCAAAGATAAGAATACAACACTGATTTGTTTGATTTGTCTGTCTCTGCTCACCAGGTAGATTGCAGCATTCGTATTGTCTGCTTAGAGGAATTCCCGGACAGCTCCATGAAACGCAGGTGTGTCTGTGACAGAGCTTGGCCAATTCAATACGACGAAACAATCTTGCGCCCCAGAGCAACGTCATTGGGCTTCTGGTGCGTTTTTTAGAGTGTCTCCTGAAGAACACATTGACAAGTGGTATCAAAATTTCATCGTTTTGACTACGCACCATGGCTTAGGCAACCCCACGCTCAAAAGTCGACAAGCTTTGCGTAGCTGCTTTATTTCAACGAGCAGTGCACATACCAATTCTGAGTAAGGTGTGCTGAGACTTATCCATAGTTTCAGGACTACGGTAGTGATGAGTATAAGAGGCTTTTAATGCGAATCAGCCAGTGGATGTGAAGTGAAAAACAATAATTTTGAATGAAGTAGGGATCTCCCTTCGACGCGAAGATCACAAAAAATTGCGCCTAACTAGAAATGCCATCCTGTGATTTTCAAAGGAATGTTCTTTCTTCAGAAGCGTCTTCCAGGTGGAATGTTACTACATAACTTTACGCCAAAATATAAGATATTGGTTCTTGCTTTCCGGGTTTTACTGTTTATCTAATAGATAAGAACTAAGAGGGTGTTACTGCTGCACACAGGGTGACTGAAAGCTTCCTGAAACACAAGAATATGTTGTGGACAGATTTCTACCCAGGTCACATCTGTTTCCATCCAACACGGTTTCCCTCAAAGAGCAAGTCAGCACCATGTTCTGCGATGCGGATTATCACTGTTGGTGAAGAGTGGTGCTCCGCTCCATCTGACTGCAAACACCCGAAGGTTCTTATTCGAATTACGATAGTCATTCATGAGATGCTTGGCTATGTTTATTCTAAGTAGACGGAATAGCTATTCAGTATGCTTCACTGCATTGCCAAGAAGTGCAACTTTCTTAATTAAATGCATATATATA